AAGTTCTTGACAATTTCCAACAAGTCAGTACCTACTCATACCGACCCTATGCACAACAGAACAAAACATTGCTGGGTCCTCATCCAACCTCACAATTGTTGCCACACTTTAGCCCATTGATACTGGCACTTTGCCAATCCATCTCACTGGGGGTATTATCCTATCACAGACAGCATTGTACTTCTACATAGATCTTGAATTGTTCTTTTTTCCCCCCAATGAATACAGTGTCATTCCTCTTGAATTTGTTGCTACTGGCATAGTAAACTATATGATTGTCTGATTCAAATGGCCAATACCAGTCCATTTCAGATCTCTAATTTGACAGATATTGATCTTTATAAGTTCCCTCATTAAGTGATTTGGTGACTGAGAATTTGTCATCTTTAAGGACTCTCACCTGCCTATTAAACTTGAAAATAGATTTATATCTTCAATAAAAATGTTCAACTATTAATTTTCAGTGATTTCCATACCATTTTGTTAAACTTCACTGTCATCCGGCAACAAGGTGGGGACATTTGTTCATGGCTGTAAGCTCCGGGTGATGGAATTCCACCCTCTCTGCCTCTTATTTCTGCCTGTTCTTTGTCGTCAGAATGTTGCTGAGACAGTATCCTGCATTGGAGGTGCAGATGAGTTGGCAGACTAGAAGTTTTAACAGTAGGATGGGGCTCAGATAGGGGGTGTTGGGTAAGGGGCTGTAGGAGGCAGGTGGAGGCCTTACCCTGCATTGGGTGGGATAAGGGAATGGCTCCTGGCAGCCTAGGCACTCCTAATGGACAGGGCAAGGAGGTTGGAGGAGCTGGGAGCATTCCTTCAGATCTACTTCCAGCAGGCTGATAGCCTCAGGGAGCTAAACTATGTGACCTGCTTTGTGCCAGCCTATCTACAGTCCCAGAAAATAAAGACAGCTAATGGTGCGGCTCTGTGTGCTAATGTGCTAGACTGAAAATTCAGTTTGAAACTCAAGGTCAATGGTTCAAGCTCACCAACCACTCCTAGGAAACCCTATACCGGATCGCTACGGGTTGGAACTGACTCGACAGCGCTTAACAGCAATAACAACAACAATATAATCATGGAATCCTGGTATAGCATTGTAGGATAATCACAGGATTGCTAACCAAAAGGCCAGTGGTTCATACCCACTAGGGCTCTTTGGAAACCCTGTGTAGGGTCACTGTGAGTCAGAAATGACTTAATGACACTTAATAACAATGACATAATTATATTTTGTTAGAGCATTCTGATATAAAAATAAAACATTTTAAGAAAAATGAAGGAGGAGGATTTATAAGACATTTCAAAAACAAACACCTTTTGTATAATTTGTGTCTGGGATCAAAAATTCAGCATTATAATTTAGCAAGGGTAGCTAATGATGTATTTGTTCCATGAAAAGCAAGTATTAAAACAACCTGAATATTGGAAGCAGCCTTCAAATTTCTATATATAAGTGTAAAGAAAGATTATAAAAAATTATTGTGTGTTTTGAAATCCATTGTTTAAAATTTTTATAACTGTAATTTAACATTTTTCTCTTTAGTTTATCTTTTAAATTTCTATTTCTATAACTTATAAGAAGTATCTAATATTTAATGATTAGTTATTGGTTTGGTGGCTTTGAGTAGTTCCTGTTAGTCTGTTAGTTAAGGTTGTAATGGGGAAAGATGTTAAGTGAGACTTTTCCTATTACCCTGAATCTGGCGACTAGGGCCTATGATTAACCAAAAACAAACAAACATTCTAAAGCAAACTGCTAACATATTACTCAAAGTTAAGGTGACTCCGGTGTCTCCATTCCATTATCCTAGAGAAGTAGTTGCCAGAAAGAGGGCTTATTGTTAAGTGTCATTGAGTCAGTTTCAACTCATAGTGACCCTGTATAGAGTTTCCGAAGAGCAGCTGGTGGGTTTGAACTGCTGGCCTTGTGGTTTGAAGTCCAGTGCTGATGCTACAATGCCACTCCAGGAGTCAGAAAACTAGGTCCCCACAAGTTAAGTGGAGAATTAACTTTTCCCTTTCTCTGTCTCCAACCCCTATGAGCTAGAAAAAACAGAGACAAGCAATTAAAAAGCAACCAAGACTCTTTCCCTACTTCCATTGAGTCCTTTCAGTCATAGATCAAGACAGTAATAAATGTCATAAAAACTTTCAATTAAATAGGAAATCAGAGTTTTAAACAGTTTAAGATATTTAATAATCAGTATTAACTACAGAGATAAGTAGTGATGTCCTTCTTTCATTACTGATAATTGGTCATTTGTGTTCTTGCTGTTTTTCTTACTATTTTCTCATTGTTGTTAAGTGCCATCAAGTTTGTTCCAACCCATAGCGAACCTATATAGGGTCTCCAAGGAGCAGCTGGTGAGCTTGAACTGTTAACCTTGCAGTTTAAATGGCTTTGCATTCTGACCCATTACCCTACAGCACCACACCCAATATTTTTAGCTTTTTGGTTTTATTATATTTCTTTATTTCTCTATTTTCTTTTTCATTTATTTTTACTTTTATCTTTATTATTATCTTCCTTACTTTGGGTTTTAATATACTCTTCTTTTTTAGCTTCTTAAGGTAGAAGCCAATTAGATCATTAATTGTTCAGAATTTTCCCAAATGTAAGCAGTTAGACCTATAAATTTCCAGCTAAGCATTACTTTAGTTGTGTTCTATTAAATTTATGTATATATTTTTATTATCACTCACTTTAAAATCTTTTCAAATTTTGATCTAACATTATTTCAAATGATGTTGCTCAATTTCCAGATATCAGGGTTTCTATGTATCATTTAACTATTGATTTTTTTTGGCCAAAAAAAAATTACATTATACCCAGAGAGTATTTTCTTTATCATTTCAATCACTTTCCATGTATTTTGGAGTCCTGCTGTGCTGCTGCAGAATAATGCCTTGTAAGTTGAGTTGAAGCCACGAGTTCGGCAGTTCAAACACCAACCGCTCCTCAGAAACTCTATACAGGGTCGCCATGAGTTGGAACCAACTTGACAGTGTTTAAGAGCAACAGCAGCACACGTGTATTGGAACTTATTTTATGGTCCAGCATATGATCTGTCTTGATGAATTGTCCAGTTGAGCTTGAAAAGAAAGCATATAGTCTACAGTTGTAGGTATAATATTTTCTATGTAGATTGAGTTCGTTGATAGTGTTGTTTAAGACTTCTGTATTTTCTATTAATTATTGAGATGAAGTGTACCAGATGCGTAATAGATACTGAATACATATTTGTTGACTGCATACATGAGTATAAAATTAAAATGTGAAAATTGTTAATATTAATTGATTTAGAATGCTCATTGATGTTTTTACACAGATGAAAATGAACAACTGAAAAGAAATGCTGATCTTATGAAAGAAAAGCTGAAATCTCATGAACAGGTAAGTTTGTGTATAATTGTATTTAAAAAGAGATTGTTTTCATTAATAAATACAGCAACTTGTAGAGTAATATATGAGGGTACTTCAAAGAGTTGGTGGAAAAATTCCGCTATCCTTTTTGCCACGAATTCTTTGAAGCCCCTTCATATATATTTTGTTGTTTTTGTATGCTGTATAGTGTTCCCAAGGCTTTTCATCTTTACAAGAACAAAAAGCCTTGTCTTTCTCCCATGTAGTGTCTGATGGATTAGAACTGCTGACCTTACAGTTAGCAGCCCAACACAAAACCACCATGCAACCAAGGCATGTATATAGATGTGATGGTAGTGGTGGTTGTGTGTCGTCGAGTCGATTCTGAATCATAGTGATGCTGTATAAGGTTTTTGAGACTATAAATCTTTACAGAAGCAGAATCCTCATCTTTGTCCTGTGGAGCAACTGGTAGATTTGAAATAATGACTTTCCAGTTAGCAGCCCAGTTTGCAATCGCTGTGCTACCAGGGTTCCTTGGATATAGACATACATGCATATATGCCAACATCTTTAATAAATGAGAATTTATTTTTGCAGAAATATAAGTTTTGTGAACCCCAGTCTGTATATAGAATGTGGTGATACCACTTGTATTACTTTTTCTTTCTACCAGGAAAATAGAGATACAGGCACTTTTCTACATATTTTTAAAATTATGTTAGCAGAGTTGAGTTCTTACATCAGAATATAAACTATTGTTTTTGTACTTTTAAACTTTTTGTATTATAAAATGTGTCTATTCTCTTTATAATTCAGATAATCTATTGCAATGTTATTATATCGTCCAAATGAAGTGAACATTTTATGTGAAGAAAAATAAATTCTCTCTCAAGGGCCACTATATTCTGCTACTTTTTCTTTTCTCTTTGAAGAACAGTATAATGACAGTAATTGTAGATCAGTGTCTGGCACATAAAGGATGCTCAGTAAGTGTCAGTTCTCAGCCCTGTGCTCCTAGGAAGGTTTATAATGTGAGCTTTTCCTCACACGCCCACAAAAGGTATTATGTCAAACTCTGGCACACCTAAAATCTCCAAAGCCCATGTTGGATCTGTATAAGACTTAGAACTTCAACTTGAAGAATGTTCCCTAAATTCAATCTTATTCCTCCTTTTGAGAGTTTGAAAAGATACAAGCGAGTGGTGGGACCCTGCCCAGGACTTCTGGGTAATACTCAGGAATAAGGAATAGCATCTGAATGTGCTCTTGGAAAATTTAGCTTTTCATCACCAATTTTGAAGTGACTTAAATGTTTCTGGAATGTATCACAACTCCTCTTTTTTTTTTTTTTCCTTTTTCCTTTTCCTCTTTCCTTTATTCTTTGAACAAACTCGATGGCACTTAACAACAACAACAACATCCCTTCCCTATTTTGCATCTAAAGTCAAAGAAATAATAGATGATGATGTCAGGTTAATTGGGGCAGGAGAAAAATTTTACCTCTTTCCCTTCTAAATCTTCAAGTCCTAGAATATTGCTTTGTCTAGAATACTAAAGAACTTTTCAGAGGGGTGGAAATGAAAGACAAAAACAGCACCACCCAAGAATGTGAACTTGAGGTTGGCCCAGGATCAGACAGTGTTTCGTTCTGCTGTGCATAAGGCGCTATGGGTCGGTACCGACTTGATGCCACCCAACAACAACAACAACAAAGCAAACTAAAGACCTCAATCCAATGAGAATGTTCTAGTACAAAACTTCCAGGTACATCCAATTGAATAAGGAACCACTCTCTTGAACAAACTAAGGTGGTACTTAGTGGCCATATTTATGAGACTGGAAGAGTTTTTGTGTTGATTTTAATTTTTAAGTAACAGCTATAGAAAAGCAACTTATATACAGAGCAGCCTTTAAATTTTGTAAAACAAAAAGACAACCATAGAATATCTCTTGGAATTTAAAGTTCCCAAAAAGCAATTGAGAAGAGAACATCCAACCTTAACTTGTTAGGACTTGACTCCCTAGAAAGAGGAAGGGATTAATAAATTCCTTAGGACTGACACAAGTTTCATTAGGAGGGATAGAGCCAGCCTCAGCTCAGACTTTCAGGCAGTCTTCATTTTTACTTCCAAGAGGCTGGATTGAAAATCCTGAATCCTGCAGAATTAATGGAAGCCTTCTACTTAATGACGGCATCCTCAGGAAGCAACTTCAGTAGAAAATGGAAAGATACAGATTTATGTCTTCTAGTTTCCCAGAGCAGCAATTGCTTAGCATGCCAATTCAGTCAGGAGTAGTTTAGGCCACTCAATAGTTATACACCTAGAAAGCTAGATACATATATATGTGTGTATATGTGTGTGTGTGTGTGTGTGTGTGTTTATAGAGAGAGAGGGCGCAAGGAAATGGCAATTTGTAACATTTGTTTTCATAGTTAAGTTCAAAGCCAAGGGGTAGGATAGATTTGACCACTCTTGGAGGTTGCTTGGCAGGATACATAGCACAAATAGGAATTCAGACTGTGTTATTTGAATTAACATGACCTCTATTGATAATTTTAGCCACCGAAGGCAGTAGATCTTGACTATTTTTCACCAGTACCACTAAATGTCTATTAAAAGCTGCAAACCCCCTAGGACAAAAGATGGTCAATGGCACATATGTGCTTGGTTGTTATTGTGTGCCATGAGTCCATCCTAATTCATAGCAAACCTGTATAGTGTTCCTGAGGCTGTAACTATTTACAGGAGCAGAAAGTCTCACCTTTCTCCTACGAAGTGAATGGTAGATTCAAGCTGCAAATCTTGAAGTTTACCAGCCCAACAGATAAACCACTATGTCACCAGGTCTCTTTATCTATCTCTCAGTTTATCTAGAGATATAGCTATATAGAAGGAGCTCTGGTAACGTGGTTACAAATTGGGCTGGGAACCATAAGGTCAGCAGTTCAAAACTACCAGCTGTTCCGCAGGAGAAAGATGAGGCTTTCTGCTCCCGTAAAGATGTACAGCCTCGGAAACCCTCTACAGGGTCGCTATGAGTCAGAACTGACTCCATGGCACATAACAACAACATAGCTATATAGAGAGATCTATTTAGTATAAGCATTGAACTATAGACCACAAGACCTTGGTTCAAGCCCAAGAAAAAAGATGAGAGGCTGTTTGCTTCTACAAACATATGTTGTTGTTGTTTTTGTATGTCATTGAGTCAGTTCCAACTCATAGCTACCCTGTATACAGTTTCAGCGGTTGCTAAGTTTAAACCACTGACTTTGCAGTTCAAACTGGCCTTGAGGTCGAGTGCTTATCCTATGGTGCCACACCAGCAAAATATATACGTATATGTTGCCGTTGTTGTTAAGAGCTGTCGAGTAGGTTCTGACTCATAATGACCCTGTATAGGGTTTCCAAGAAGCATATACATATACATACACACACACATATATGTACATAGTTGTTGTTGTTAAGTGCCATAGAGTCAGTTCCAACCCACAGTGACCCTGAATAGGATTTCCAAAGAGCAGCTGGTAAGCTTGAACCGCCAACCTTGCAGCAGTCCAGCACATTAACCCACAGTGCCACACCAGGTCAAGTGCTTATCCTATGGCACCACACCAGGATATATATGGCATCATAGGATTGATTGGAAGACTGATTGGAAGAGATCCATATTTGTGCCCATTACAAAGAGAGGTGACCCAAGGGAATGCGGAAATCACTGGAAAATCTCTTTGATATTCCATGTGTGTAAAGTTTTGCTAAAGGTAATACAGAAACGGCTACAA